TGTACAATCAAAGAGCATTCTGAACTCCACCAATGATAGAATTAAACCAAACTTGGCACACAGAACTCCCATAACCAACACAAAATACTGGAAGGGTTTGGTGGGCATTGACCTTGAGTTTTGGAGTTGTAGTTCACCTACATCCAGAGAGCACTGTGGACTCAAACAATGATGGATCTGGACCAAACTTGGCATGAATACTCAATATGTCCAATTGTGAACACTGGTAGAGTTTGGGGAAAATACACCTTGTCATTTGGGAGCTCCAGTCACTGGGATTTATAGTTCACCTACAACCAAAGAGCATTCTGAACCCTACCAATGATAGAATTGGGCCAAACTTCCCACACAGAACCCACATGATCAACAGAATATACTGTGTTTTCTGATGGTCTTTGGGGACCCCTCTGACACCCCCTTGCAACCTCTCCAGGGGTCCCGACCCCCAGGTTGGGAAATGCTGTTCTAGGTTTGCTCAAAAATTCCATGTTCCCATCCCCATGACGTCTGATTCATCCACACTACACAGCCGTAATGTCATGAATCCACTTCAGCTGCCTCAGTACCATCCTATGGGCTCTTAGAGCATAGTTGTCTTGTTGTTGGGTGACTTCAAACCATTTCCAACATATAGTGACCATTGTCAAAGATTGCATTGCTCAACAAAAGCTGTGGGAGGCATTCATGAAGGATTTCCCCTGACCCACTTCCTATGGACTGAGAGCAATGAAACTTGGCTCAGTTATGAGTCCTTCTCTCCATATGTGCCACCTTGGGACACACGCTTCTCCCTCCTTTCTAAGCAACTGTACACACCTCGCTTGTAGAAGTCAACAGGTTGTTCCAAAAGTCACATTTTGATTTCGGAAATCAGAGTCTCGTCATCTGAAAAATGTTTGCTCTTCAAAAATAACTTCATTGTTGGAAAGAGGTTGACGTCTGATGGTGCAAGATCGGGTGAATAAGAGGGATATGGAAGAATTTCAAAGCCACAGGAGCATGCTTCCATTTGAGCAATGTGGTGTTGTGCGTGGGTGTGTTTTAATGTTTTTATATTGTTTTTATTATAATACTAGCTGTACCCGCCATGCGTTGCTGGGGCCAACCTTCCCTCCCCCTTTCTCTCCTTTTTTTCCCTCCTTCCTTCGCTCCCTCTTTCCTTCCTTTCTTCTTTCCTTCTCTCCTTCCTTCCTTCCTTCCTTCCTTCCTTCCTTCCTTCCTTCCTTCCTTCCTTCCTTCCTTCCTTCTCTACCTCTTTCTTTCCTCCCCCCTTTTTTCCTTCATCTTTCTTTTTTCTTCCTTCTCTACCTCTTTCCTTCCTTCCTTCACTCTTCACTTCTATGCATCTATCTTTCCTTCCTTCCTTCCTTCCTTCCTTCCTTCCTTCCTTCCTTCCTTCCTTCCTTCCTTCCTTCCTTCCTTCCTTCCTTCTTCTTTCTCCCCTTCCTTCCCTCCCTTTGTCATTTAGTTTTTCGTCATTTAGCTATTGGGGTTTTTTAAGTCCTTTCCACTGTTTTTTTTTTTGGGGGGGGGTTATGAGTGATGGTCACTCATTGGTCTGTTAGGGGTATCGTGTCTAAATTTCATGTCAATTCATCCAGTGGTTTTTGAGTTATGTTAATCCCACAAAAATTACATTTTTATTTATATAGATGTATATTTATGCTTTTTCTTGTTGTGGGCACTGTGCTGTACCAGTTGTTAGCTGCCCTGAGTCCCTCTGTGGCGGTTGAGATAGGACAGGATATAAATGACCTAAATAAGTAAATGTGAGTGGTGAACTGGTGCGTTGTCTTGCAGAAGGCAGACAACTTTGGTGAGCATGCCACATCACTTGGTTTTGATGGCCTCCCGCAATTTCCGCAGCAGTGAAGCATAGTATTCCCCAGTGATCATGATACCCTTTGCTAGAAAATCCATCAATATTACTCTGTGCTAGTCCCAAAATACTGTGAGCATGACTTTGCCTGCTGAGATGTGGGCAGGTGCCTTCTTTGGAGGCAGTGAGTCATGATGCTTCCATTGCATCGATTGGACTTTAGTCTCAAGATCATAGTGATGGACCCAGCTTTCATCCTGTGTGAACAATCTGTTCTCTGCTGTGGCCCTTCAACTATGGAACTCGCTGCCTAGTGAGATTAGGCAAGCCCCATACTCTGGCAGCTTTTAAGAAAGACCCAAAAACCTGGCTCTTCCAATGTGCCTTGGTGAGTGAATAGATATTCCGTTTTAGTCTGTCCCAATTACAGCTCTGTCCTAATGATGCACTTTCCCTCCGTCCTTAATGAAGGTTTAATCCCACTGTTCAGCCCTTTGCATTCCTTCCTCAGAAATACATTCTCCCTCAGAAATACATTCTACCTATCTCATCC